GGTCGTCAGGCTGCCCTGTCACGTCACAGGTCACAGGTCGCAGGTCGTCAGGCTGCCCTGTCACGTCACAGGTCACAGGTCGCAGGTCGTCAGGCTGTCCTGTCACGTCACAGGTCGCAGGTCACAGGTCACAGGTCGCAGGTCGTCAGGCTGCCCTGTCGCAGGTCACAGGTCGCAGGTTGTCAGGCTGCCCCGGCAAGTCCTTCTTATCTGCTGGGCTGTCACTCAGTTCCAGTGTTTGTTTGGGTCTCTTGTAGCCCAGGCTAGTTGCAAACTTACTATGTAGATGACCTGATCCTCCTGCCTCAACCTTACAAACCCTGGGGTGACCAACCTTGGCCACCATGATCTGGGTTTTAAGTGTTAGAGTTCCCATTGTGTCTGTTTGTGTCTGTGTCTGACCACTCCCACTCAGTCTGCAAGGCTCCGGTGGTGTGTCTGAAGCCGGGCTTGGTTCATTTTCACCGCTGGAGTGTACTTCATTGTACGGACGTACCGCATTTTGGTTATCAGTCCACTGGGAGGCACTTGAGTTTTCTCCAGTTTGGAGCCACGATGTAGAGTCTGAACACTGGGGCCTGGGTGGCAAGTTCTTCTTCCTTTGTGTGTGTGTTTGTGTGGTTTTGCTGGGGATGGATCCCAGGGCCCTGAGCATGCTAGGCAAGCACTGTACCCCTGAGCTAATGCTCAGAGCATCCTCTGCTCACCGGCTACCCAGAAGTGGAGGTACTGGGTCACAGGGGTGCTTGTAGTGTTCACACCCACACCAGCAACACATGCACAGTGCCCGACTCAGCTTTTTTTCTTTTCCAGTTATGTACATGGGAGGGGGCAGTGTGCATGTGTTCACAAACTTTGCATCCACTTGAGCTGGAGTTACAGACAGTTGTGAGCTCCCTGATGTGATACTGAACTCCAGGCCTCTGGAAGAACAGTGCCTGTTCTTTGCCTCCAAGCCATCTCCTGCCCCCTCAGCCCAACTTTGAATTAGGAATCTCAAACATGAGTGGGTTGTGTTTCATCTCAAGTAATTCTCAATTACAAAATTCCCAGAATCTTTATTATTATTATTTCTTGTGCAGAGTTCCCCTCTCCACACTTCAGCCTGCCGTCTGTGAGCGTGAGATGTGGAGTGTGCTGGACTTGGATGCCTTATTAGATAGGAGGGACTTCGTGATTTTGGTAGGGCTTTGGGGTAATTGAGGAGAGGTGCTGTGAGTAAGGTCTGAGACCATTGAGAGTCAAGGTCATACGAAGGACCTTGGGTTGAACATCTGAGTATGGGTTGGGGCTCAGGGAACTGAGAACGGGTGGGGCTGAAACCCAGCTCTTGCTCCAGCCCAGGCCCGGGCAGGGTAGGAGTCGGTACCATGGTGGGCACAGGTTTTGAACTGTGGAAGGCCCGAGGACTGTTAGCCCAGATTGGAAGCAGGGGCCCTGGATTCAGGAACGCCAGGGTGCAATCAGGATACCCATGCTGATGTAGTAGTGTTCAGTTTGGTGTGAAAGCCCTCGGAACCTCAGCTTCCTTCACTTGAAAGGGAGAATCTTAGTGCCAGTGGCTCATGTGCCCTGCTTGGCTCTGCGCTGGGTGGTGGCAGACATTTGATGGCAGGTGTCAGCACTGTGAGGACTCTGGTGCCTGACTCACTACCTGCTGCCTTCCTTGGGTTCTACAAACTATAGAGTGCCCATAGATTTGAGAGCACAGCTGGCATTCAAGACTGTGGGAACCATAAAATCTAGGATGGCTTTGAAGACCAGGGTCAGCGCAGAGGTGGATGACATTGGGGTTGGAGAGGAGTAGGGTGGGGCTGCCAGGCTTACCTCATGCGAGACGGAAGGCCGGTGGGAGTTGTGTGGGAACTGGGGACAGGGAAAGTGGTGGGTCAGAGGACGGCTGAATCACACCTTGAGATCTGACAGCTCCCCACTTTGGGGTTCCAGCAACCCCATCAGAGCTCACTTGCCCTACTCACAGTGGAAAACATGTCTCACGCAAAACCCGGTATGGCAGGACCGGAGCCTCGGCCACTTGCCTGGGGAGGAGGCCAGAGGTTGTACTGGCTCTTTTATCAACCTCATCGGCTCCTCCCAGACAGCTGGTGCCTTCTTGTGACCAGATCCCACCCACCCTGGTGCCTCGCAGCAGGTGGCACCTCCTGTGCTGCTTTTAGGAGATGTGCTCTCCTGTCTGTCCAGGGGAAGGCAGAGGCCCAGAATCCTCTGAGAGAGCCTTCCAAGTGCCAGGGGTAGGAGTGGGGTTGGGAAAGACTAGAGGGGGTGGGAGTTGGCAGAAGGAGGGACCTCAGGGCCCTCCTGGCTTCCTCTCCCTTCCCTCCATTTTCATTTCTTCTCTGTTCCCAGAAATAAGAATGTCTAAGCCCCTGGAGGCCGAGAAGCAAAGTCTGGACTCCCCATCAGAGCACACAGGTGAGGGAGGATGGGCAGAGGCAGGGAAGTGGGCAGGTGTGCAGGGACGGTTGGCAACATGCCTTTTCTTTCCTTTTACAGACACTGAGAGAAATGGACCCGACATTAACCATCAGGTCAGGATGACTCAGATGCGCTAGAGGGCGGGAAGGGAAGGACAGAGCAATGGTTAGTGGGATACGTGTCCAGGACTTTTCACGACACCATTCTCATCTCCTTGCCCCAACTCTCTCTTTACAGAACCCCCAGAATAAGGCTTCCCCATTCTCTCTGTCCCCAACTGGCCCCAGCACTAAGGTAAGCACCCGCGAGACCGTCCCAGGAAGGGGGTGGTACGTGGGAGGAAGGAGATCTTCAGCATGTCTGCCATGGACCCAGGTCCTGCTAGAGGACCCGGTGACAAGGTTCCTCCTGCCCCTTCTCACCCTTGGGTTCCTGCCCCAGGCTTGTGACTCACCCAGTCTCCTTCCCCTTCCCTAGGGGGTGGGGGTGGCCAGGGAAATCCCCCCCAGAGCCCCAGGGTGATAACAACAGGAAGCCAATGCTCCTCCCCCATCCCGACTTCCCTGGCCAAAGGGGCCTGAAGCACCCCTGTACCCCATCTCACATACACACACACACACAGAGCAGGAACAAGTTAAGAGAAGTTGGCAGACCCAGTGAGGACAGCCATGAAATGAAATACAAGGTGATGGAGAGGACTGGCTCTGTGCTAGGCACTGCAGGACTTAGGGAAGCCCAGGCTCCATTTAGCCTGATGGTGGTAAGGGCCACAGAGCAGGTTCAGATGCCTAAAAGGAGAAGCAAGAATGTGGGGGCATGGACAGATCCCTGGCCAGAGGTGGCTGAAGGGTGAGGTGAAGCTCAGACTTGCTTCTCACCCAACCCTGCAGCCTTGCTCTGTGACCATAGGAAAGTCACTTCCCCTCTCTGGGCTTCTTAGTTTCCCCTTCTCTAACACTGGGGGAGGGGAGGGCAGTCAAACTGGAGATTGGGTGGCCTCTGAGGTCCTTCCCATGTCTGCTCTGTCCCCAGTGCTGGGAGGACAAACTACTTTGTGAGCAAGTGTCTTTTATACTCTGTCTGCACTTGGAACCCAGGGCCGGGGTCAGAAGGGCTCCCCAACTCTTGATCTGACCTTAGGTTTAGTGTTTGCCTCAGCCCCAGCAGTGTGTGCCCGTCCACCGGTTGCCATTTCTTCTGTTCCCATAGCAGCTTTCTTTGGGAAGCCAGTGAGGCAGTGAAGGGTCCTTCCTCGCCTTCCCAGGCCTGGACCTTCTTCCACACTTTACCCGGCTTCTCTGACCCTGGCCTGTATCTCCACCTCTCTCCCCTCCTCTGCACTGGAGTTTCCCCAGCTGCAACGATCCCACGTGCTCCCATCCCTGACGTATCTATGCACCGCTGTGGATTATTATTTACATAATAATTTTGTTAAGTGGCTCAATTTTGAAAAACATTTTATTATGGAAAATGTGATACAAAAATAGAAGCGTGTAATGAAAATACCAACCCCCAGGAACCCATCAATCAGTTTCGACAATTACCAACTCATGAACGGCTTCGTTTTTCAACAGCTTGAATAAATGGGTTTTAAATGGAAATTTCATGAATGGAAAACCAGAATCACTTACCATGGAAATAAATACAATGATTATTAAATTCTACCCAGAGTCCCTTATGTGCTGAAGGGTCTTACCCCAGGGCCTCTTCTCCACTGGCTGAAAGGGAAGATTAGCCAGCATTGGTGAGATGCTTAAACTATCATCCCGGTCAAGAGTGCTGTGATGGGCATTCAATACCAGCTCTCTGGAGGCTAACCTAGGTTGCAATAGTAAGTTCCAGCTAGTCAGGACAACTTAGCAAGACCCTGTCTCAAAACAGAACAGTGGGCCAGGAATGGGGCTCCATTGGCTAAGTGCTTGTCTAGCATGCATGATGATCCTGGGCTTGATCCCCAAAATTCCATAAACCTGGCCTGGGAGGTAGAGGCAGGACCATCAGAAATTCAAGGTTATCCTTGACTACCTAGAGAATTTGAGACCAGCCTGGGCTGCCTGACTTGTGTCAAAAATAAAAGCTGGGCTGGAGAGATGGCTCAGGGGTTAAGAGCACACTGGTTGCTCTTCCAAAGGTCCTGAGTTTGATTCTCAGCAACCACATACATAATGTAGTAAAACCTTGGTTTTTTTTTATTATTTTTATTTATTTATTTGGTTTTTTGAGACAGGGTTTTTTTTTTTTGTAGCTTGGGAGCCTGTCTGGAACTTGCTCTGTAGACCAGGCTGGCCTCGAACTCATAGAGATCTGCTTCTCTCTGGCTCCCAAGTTCTAGGATTAAAGACATGCACTCCCACCACCTGGCTGTTTTTTGTAAGCAATTTAATGGAAGGTGGTATAAGATGGTAAAGGCACTGGCTGCCAAGCCTGATGACCTGAGTTTAGTCCCTGGAACCCACATGATGGAAGGAGAGAATTTTAAATTGCACATGTGCATTCTGTCATGTGCACACCTAGACACACAAATAAAATAAAATAAGTATTTTAAAAAGTTGATTACAACTAGCCATGAGATGCTTTAATGACTTTCCTGGAAAAAAAGTCCATATCTCCAACTCCTTTGTTTTTTCCCCAAGAAGTGTATACTCCTAGTGGTCCTGGAACTCACTCTGTGGACCAGGTTGGCCTCGAACTCACAGAGATCCACCTGCCTCTGCCTCCTGAGTGCTGGAATTAAAGGTGTGCACCACCACCACCTGGCTCATATCTCCAACTTCCATTAGTGTCATTTCCTGTTTCATCCTTTTATACCTAAAACTTGTGACACTTCTGTCCAATAATCTGAGACATCAGGATCTGCCACCATTTGACCTTTCCCAAGCCTCTGTGTCTGCTCCTCTCTCTCCCCGCATGCCCAATGTCAGTCCTCTGTCAACCTGCTGCGTCAGCTACATGAGTCATCTCAAACCCTCCCCCATCTCCTGGTGCAAAATGAGACACTGAGCCGAAAGATGGTCCCTAATATCCAGTCTGGTCGGGAAGATATGTTATCCATCACACTGGCTGTCTCCCAAACACTCCCACGCACCCTCAGCGGGCACCTGTCAGCCAATGGCCCCGAGAGGAAGAAGTCAAAGATGGCTTGACCCTGGCCTGTTTTGTGTATTTGATGCAAGCGATATCCGCATTATGATGAGTGAGATGGAGAAGCCAGAGCCGCCTCTGGCTCATCCACAGGCTTTACTGTCTCTGCCATGGCTGTGTTTTACTCTCTGAAGTGCATAACTAGTAAGAGCAGCCTGGGTCAGTGGGGCTTTCAGCTTAGTCTCCGCTTGCCCCGCCCACTCATGCCCTTATACCTCATGGTATATGGGCAAGAGTGCTTGTCCCCATAATCAGATGGGTTTGTGAAGTACCAAGCTGTTTATTCAAACTCACAATCCTCCTGCCTCAGCTTTCCAATGCTAGGATTACAAGGACTCACACCATACCCATTCCAGCTGGTAAGGTTTTACTGTTTTGTTTTGAGTTTTCTCCAGAATAAAGAATTATTTTATCTATCTATCTATCTATCTATCTATCTATCTATCTATCTATCTATCTATCTATTAGATTTGTTGAGAGAGGGTTTCTTTGTGTAGCCCTGGCTGTCCTGGAGCTTGCTCTGTAGACCAGGATGACCTCAAACTCAGAGATCCACCTGCCCCTGCCTCCCAAGTGCTGAGATTAAAGGCGTGCGCCACCACTGCCTGGCATATTTGTGATATTATAATATAGTTAAATCATTTCTCCCTTCCCTTGTGTTTCTCCAGTCCTTCCCATATTCCCCTCATTCGTCTTCAAATCATGGCTTTTTTCATTTGTTGTTGTTATATCTATTTATATCTGTCTGTCTGTCTACCCACCCATCTATCTATTCATTCCTGAATACATATACAGCCCTGGCTGGCATGGCACTCACAGCAACCACCTGCCTCTGCCTCCTCCTGAAGTGCCTGGATCACAGGTGTATACCACCATGCCCAGCCTTTGGCGATGGTTTTTTAAACACCCAAGGCCCTTCTTTTCAACAAAACAAAAAATAGTTTAATTTTATTTTATGTTTATGAGAGTTTGCATGTATGTCTGTGCACCATGTGCATATATACATGCTTGGTGCCCACAAGGGCCAGAACTTGAGTTACTGATCCATGCTTGGGCTGCTATGTGGGTGCTGGGAACCAGATTTGGTTCCCTGGAAGAGTAGCCAGTGCTCTTAACCACTGAGCCATCTCTCCAGCCTGTTCACCAAAATTTTATTCCAGTAGACAAATAACACCTGTAGCCTTAACTGGGTGTAGAAGTGCACACCTTTAATGCCAGCACTCAGGAAAAAGAAGCAGGCGAAGCTCCATAAATTCCAGGCCATCATGGTCTACACAAGTTCAGACAACCAGAGCTACATAGTGAAGCACTGTCTCAAAAAAAAAACAAAAACAAAAAGCGGGGCTGGAGAGATGGCTCAGTGGTTAAGAGCATTGCCTGCTCTTCCAAAGGTCCTAAATTCAATTCCCAGCAACCACATGGTGGCTCACAACCATCTGTAATGGGGTCTGGTGCCCTCTTCTGGCTTGCAGACATACACATGGACAGAATATTGTATACATAATAAATAAATATTTAAAAAAAACAAAAAACAAAAAGCAAAATCACCACCAACAAAATAGTTAATACCCCCAAGCTGAAGCAAGGGGTGTGTGCATGTCTGGAGACATCCCTAGGCTCCTAGCATCGACACTTCCCATTTTATAGGTGGGGAAACTGAGTCCTGGGAGGAGGAAGGTGGTTTCCAAAGGTGGCCTCTCCTACAGTGAGAGAACACTGAGGCCAGAGAAGTGACCAGAGGCCTCAAGCCACGGCCTTGCCACTGCTCTTGCCCACTCCCCTGTACCAGCCCAGGACTGCCACGGCCACTCGCATACCCTCTTTTTGGTTCACAGGTGGGCATTCTCTCTGGCCTCCACTTAACATTCTGGGGTCCCGGACCCTGCCTCTCTCCTCCCCAGATCAAGGCTGAAGACCCCAGTGGTGACTCAGCCCAGGCAGCACCCCCGCCCCCCCAGCCGACTCAGCCTCATCTGCCCCAGGCCCAACTCATGTTGACGGGCAGCCAGCTTGCTGGGGTAAGTATTTGGTGAAGGACCCCAGCAGAAGGCACAAACCTCCCCATTGTCCGCAGGCCATGCAGGTGACTAGTCTCACCGAGGCCACAGCCACTCTCTCACACTTTCCTCTTCTCCTCCACTGTCCTGCTAAAAGATGTGTCTCCTAACGACTTGACTCGAATACTAACCCCTTTCTGTCTTCTCTGCCCCCCGCTGCTGCCCTGCTCTCTGCCTGCTTCACCGCCCGCCCGCAGCTCACTGCGCTGATGCCTGCTCAGCAGCAGCTGCTCCTTCAGCAAGCCCAGGCCCAGCTGCTGGCTGCTGCCGTGCAGCAGTCTAGTGCCGCCGCCGCCAACGCCGCTGCCGCCGCAGCCGCTGCCTCCTCCACCTCCTCTGCCTCCTCTTCTGCCTCCTCCTCCGCCTCGCAGCCCCCAGCCTCCTCTGGGGGAGGCGACCTGCCACCATCACAGCCTGCCAGCCAGCCCCCAGGGACCCCACAACTCACCTTGTCCCAACCCATCCAGCTCACAGCACAGGTAAGGGCAGCCACCAAGCATCCTAGTCCTTGCAGCAAGGGACCTGCAGAAGCAGGGCGTGCGCACAGGGTGGGCCTTCTGACAGTAACCGTGTGCCAGGTGGTTCTGTGATGGTGGGAGCCTTGGACAAATGTGCCCTTACACGCTACGTTGGTTAAAGCAAGGCTCGCAAGGAATATCCCATATACTTCAGTGCTTTTCGCAGTGGGTTGACCTACACACTTTCTGCAGTGGGTTGACCTGCACACTCTCTGTGCACGTGCGCGTTCCGAAAGCTCAATTTATAATGAGAAAGCTAGAAGTCATCACCCTTATTCCCAGGAATGGTATCTGTGTGTGCATAAAAACAAAAAGGCTGGGCTGGAGAGATGACTGCTCTTCCAGAGGTCCTGAGTTCAATTCCCAGCAACCACGTAGTGGCTCACAACCCTGTATAATGGAATCTAGTGCCCCTTTCTGGTGTGCAGGCATGCATGAAGGCAAAACATTGCGCATATAATAAATAAACAAATAAATCTTTAACAAACAAACAGAACGAAATGAAAAGGCTGAGAATGAGAGTTAGCGCTTGGGATTATAGCTCGGTTGGTAGAGTACTTGCCTGGCACTCACAAGCTCTGGGTTCAAACCCCCAGTACCTCATAAATCCAGTGTGGTGGCACACACCTATGACCCCAGGACTCAGGAAGTGAAAACACACAGATTAGAAGTTGAAGGTCATCCATCCACGGCTACATAACAAGTGCAAGGACAGCCTAGGCTGCAGGAAACCTGTCTCAAAAAATAAAATAAAAATACAAATAAACAAAACCCCTCAGACTTAGTGCCTCACTTTTTTATTCTTCCCACAAGATGATCTGCCAGTTAAGAAGTCCATGAACTGATTTTTAAAAAAACATATCTCAGCTGGGCAGTGGTGGCGCACGCCTTTAATGCCAGCACTCAGGAGGCAGAGGCAGGCAGATCTCTGAGTCTGAGGCCAGCCAGGTCTACAGAGGGAATTCCAGGATAGCCAAGATGACACAGAGAAACCCTGTCTCAAAAAAGAAAACAAAAAAACACATTTCACCCTCCCAGTGCTTGAGTTGACACATTGACCCCAAATCATGAATTAGTGGCTGTGCTTGTTCCCTGGGCCACCATCAGAAGCTGCCATCCGTGCTTAAAAACAAATAGTAAAGCAGAAATGGAACCCCGTATGTTGGAGCAACCCCAGCATTCAGGAGGCCGAGGCAGGGGGATCTCTGTGAGTTTGAACTCAGCTTGAGCCACCCAACAGAACTCTGTCAGAAAAGAAAAAGAGAATTGAAAAAATAAAACCAACCCACAAAATCCAGAAATGGATACTCTCAGACTGCACTGCCGAAGTTAAGATGTCGGCAGAGCCGAGCTCTCTCTGTAGGCGAGGAGAAACCCTTCTCGTGTATAACTCCTCCTGGTGATGCCAGCAGTCCTTAGTACTTAAGGTGAAGACAGATCAGGTGGGCCATTCCGGATCTTAGCTGCATTAACACATGGACTGGTCTCTCTGTATATGTCTGTGCCCTGATCGCTTGCTCTGGTTAGGACAGCAGTAACTGTGCTAGTGTTTCCCTCATGAGCTTACTTTAACTTTGTTAACTCTGCAAAGGCCATGTTTACAGGTACTTTAACCTATATTTTGGGGGTGCGACACAATTTGGCTCAACAGTAATGGATATAGTGTCCGTCCAGTGGTAGCAGGTAGCAAGTGGTAGTTCAAAAGCAGTGAGACTGAACTGGGCACACTGGTGCATGCCTTTAATCCCAGCACAGGAAAGCAGAGGCAGGATCTCTGTGAGTTCAAGTCCAGCCTGGTCTATGTGAGTTCTAGGACAGCCAGAGCTACATAGTGAGATCCTGTCATGGAAAAAAAAAAAAAACCAAAAAACAAAAAACAAAAACCAAAACCAAAACCAAACAAAGTAGTGAGACTTGATTTCAAAATAAAGTGGAAAAAACGTTGAAGATGTTGTTCAGGGGTAGAGCACCCACCTAAAATTCCCCAGTGAGGGGCTGGGGTGTGGCTCATGGGTAGAGCCCCTGCCTAGAATCCCCCAGTGAGGATCTGGGGGCTTGGTTCAGTGGTAGAGCCTCTGTCTAGAATCCCCCAGTGAGGGGCTGGAGTTGTGGCTCAGTGGTAGGGTACTTGCCTAATATGCATACAGTATTCCCCAGTAAAGGGAAAAAGAAAGTCAGTAGTCTGCAGATGCCTTTCAGATGGGCTCATCCTTAGCAGCCTGCTCCTGCCTGTCTTGTTTCTACAACCACTTGAGTTCACCACATCCTAAATGGTGAATGGCCTGGGAAATTCTGTAGGAGAGAAACCCTTTTAACTTGCCTCAGGGTAGCTCTCACCACTTTTCTCCCAACCGCCTTCCATCTCCCCCACACTCCTGGAGGAACTGTCTATGGAGGGGGACTGTCCAGTCTTTGTGGGGGCTGTCCTTACTGGGAGTTTACCCATTTTAGGAGGTCCATCTAATTATGGATGCACTCCCTTCAGGACTTTCCCGAACACGGAGCTGGGCCTGCCCCAGGGCCTGGTTCTGCAGAGCACAGCCCCACTCTTGCCCTGCTGGGCCCTTGGCAAAATCACTGGGAGCAGCATCTGCACCAGACACCTTGCCAACAATGACCTCGAAAGGTCAAGGTCAAGCATCATCCCTCAGCCCAGACAGAATGCTGGAGACTGGCAGTGACAAAATGGCATGCCTCAGGACACAGTGTGTGTAGGATTGGCAGAGCTGGCCTGGGAGCTCGGGGCTCTAACCACATGGCCTGCCTGTGGTAGCTGTTGCTTCAGCCATCCTTCACGGGGACATGGTTTCCAGTCCCCTCCCACCAGGGCCACCAGAGACTCCTGCAGCAGGTGCACATGTTCGCTTGGTAGCACACACAGCACAGGATCTTGGGGCAACACGCTCAGCCCATTGGCTTTCCTCCCATTTTCCTCTCCATCCTGAGTTACTCTCTCCTTTTACCTGGAAAGCTCCTCTTCATCCATCACAAGCAGTCCCCCACACCCTGAGGGCTTTCCTGTTGCAGTTGCATCTGAATGCCTCTAGAGAACCACCTCTCAACAGAATAAAGAGGAGAGGTAGGCAGCCTGGTGTAGGACATCCCGTCACCGCGGGAGTGAGCCACCAGCATTGCTTGCCTTGGTGCAGCCTCAGGACCACAGTCAGGCTGATGCCCAGCTACCTGCTGTCCCATCATGCCCTCCTGACCAGGTCTCCTTGTGCTTCTCCCCACAAGCCCTTTTCTCTTGCTCATTTCCCTCCTCCAGAATGAGCGCCCTCATTCTGGATCTTTCTGCTCAGTCCCTCAGCAAGTGCAAAGCTGAATACAAATTCTAGAAATTCATTCTCATGGGCTGAGCTTCCCTGTGGCCTCATTTGCTCAAGAGTAGTTTGTGCTGTATCTCCTCTGCTGCTCAGTGCCCAAGGACCAGGTACGGCTCCCCCCACCCTGGCATGCCCATCGACCCACCACTCTAGACCAGCTCCTGGGCTTGGTTCTCTGTTCCTCTCCCCACTTCCACTTCCTTTGCCTGCTCAGCTCTGTCCCTTCAGTCAGATCACTAACATCTCTAGGCCCCCTGTGTCCTGGACCCTGGCAGAATCTAGGAATTTAGGAATGAGTCACGGGCATCTTTGCCTCCCAAGAGACTCCCTGGCTTGTAGTGAAACAGAAATAAATGTATTACATTTGAAAATACTAAGAAATCCCATCCAAAGCACTGTTAGGGCTGTTGGGTATAGCATAATGGTAGATCACTTGTTTAGAATCCCCAAGAGAGACTGGGGGTGTGGCTCAGTGGTAGAGCCCCTGCCTAGAGTCCCCCAGTGAGGGGCTGGGGGTGTGGCTCAGTGGTAGAACACCAGAGTACTTGCCTAATTTGCCTGAGGCCCTGGGTTCAAACCACAAAAATGAGCAGAAAAAAAAAGATTCATGAGCCACCACTTTAAAATGATACAATAATATAAAATAAAAATTCCCCTGCTATTTAAACTGTTTGGCACGATGTTTCCCTGCAGTTTCTGAGCTGTACCTATGAAAGGATGATCTTATTATATATAGTTGGATAATTGGCCTGTCCAATACTTGGTGTGGTGTGTTCTGCAGAGGGAGCTGTGTGACTGTTTATCAAATCAATGAGGGCTGCTTTGTTGTTCCAGTTTTTCAATCAAGGAAAGGGAAGGCATCTCTTCAGGGGAGTATTTCAGAACGCCTGGAGTAGGGATTGGCATTGACTGAAAACTTAACATAACTGTGAAAGCATCATTTTGTATTTGTAGAGTGGAAAAAGAATACAGAAGGATGCTTCAGCATCTCCTAGGCTGAGACGGTCCAGTGACTGACAGTTCCCCGCTGGGTCTGGAGGGAATGTGGAGCCAGGAACTTGTCTAGTGTGTGAGGGACTCAGGAAACTTTTGGGAGGTGGTGGTGGAAGTTCATTGTAACAAGTCTTTTTTTTTTTTTTTTTTTTTTTTGTCCTAACTGACAGCTCCCAAATAATGACATGAAAGCTTCTTATTAACTATGAAATCTCAGCCTTTGCTTAGGCTTGTCTCACTAGGTTTTTTTTTTTTTTTTTGGCGGGGGGGTTTCAAGACAGGGTTTCTCTGTCGCTTTGATGCCTGTCCTGGAACTAGCTCTTGTAGACCAGGCTGGCCTCAAACTCACAGAGATCGGCCTGCCTCTGCCACCACTGCCTGGCCCCACTAGCTCTTATAACTTAAATTAACCCATATTTTATTCATCTACATTTTACTTCTCTCCCGTTCTGTGTCCGACTCATTTCACATCTTTGCCTCTCTGCAAAGTCCTCTGTGCCTGAAAGTCTCACCTATGCCTCCTGCCTAGCTATTGGCAATTTAGCTCTTTATTAAACCAGTCAGAAGACGCCTTGGCAAACACACATCTTCACAGTGTACAAAAAGATTATTCCCCAACAGTTCATAGGTGGGTGAGCAGAA